ATATACTTTTCATTGGGTGGGACCATCGTAGCCAGTGCCAACTGCGAAATATTTAGCAGTCTTTGTCCACCCCCCTCCCAAAATACCAGTAATGTCAAGCCCCAACCCCCTACTCCAGGCATTGTAGCAATAACAAAAGACAGAATAAGGAGAAGGGCCGGAAGAAAGAAAACTGCCCTCAAATACCTCCTGGAAAAGGAAGGCCAAGCTAGAGTGACCAACTCATCCCAGTTTGCCTGGGACTTTTCCAGTTTAATTTTATCAGTTTCAGTACTAAAAGCCTCATGTCCCAGAAAAGCCACTAGTTCCAGGATAACTGGGATAGTTGGTCAACTGAACAGCCCCTGACATATGCACACATGTGCATGCATGTGCCAACCATCTAATTATGTACGTGTGCCACTTAGGAAAAAAATAAAACTTAAAATAAAAAGATAGGGTTTAACATTGAAGAAATCTGGGTTTGAATTATGGCCCTGTCCCTTACCAGTGTTCTGACCTAGGGCAAGTTTCTGTTGATGAGTTACAATAATGGGGGACTGGGTTCAGGAACCACCCCTCATACCCAAATCCACGGATGCTCAAGTCCCTGATACAAGATGATGTAGGGTTTGCATATAACCTATGCACAATTTCATGTATACTTTAAATCATCTCTGGATGACTTATAATACCTAATACAATGTAAATGATATGTTAATAGTTGTACTGTTTAGGGAATAATGACAAGAAAAAAAAATCTACGTTTTCAGTACAGGTACAATTTTTTTTTTCCGGTTTAATTGTTCATACTTTATTCCTGTATCAATAGGTTAAGAAAGTAAACTTTTCCCAAGCACTGATTTATAGATCATGCTTATAAGTGGAACACAAAAAGTTAAGTTTCAGAAACAATAACATTCAATGATTTACTTAAATGCAATTGTAATCCGTACTGAAAGCTAAGGGCAATAATTTAATACAATAGACTAAATACACACAAAACCTATATATTCAGAACTATAAACATGGTTTCCATGGCCACAGACGGTTTCAGTCAAGGACACATTTCCACAATGAACAAGTACTTATACATATGTTAGTAAAACACTAATGCAAATGCTTATCCTGTCATCAGCTCTTTAAGCAATGCCATTCCTGCTACTGAAAGCATTTACTTTTAGAAGCTTGAATCTGGGAAAACAAATTCTCCTAAAAGTTAATAGGATGTTATAAGTCTGAAAAGATTTTAAATCAAAAAGCCTTCCAACACAGCATTATTCATGTGAAACTTAGTTTCTTTTAAAAAAATAACTTGTTGCCCAAGGAAAATTAAAACAAATTATCTTTTAAGAGAGATAAACATTCTTATAAAAAAAAACTGTATTTTCCTTTATCATCTCTTTAAAAGAAACACAAACCAGTTCATTGTCTGTATTTATTTTTCTGAGATAGAGTCACGCTCTATTGTCCAGATTGGAGTACAGTGGCACCCTCTTGGCTCACTGCAATCTCCGCCTCCCCAGTTGAAGCAATTCTTCTGCCTCAGCCTCCCAAATAGCCTGGATTACAGGCACGTGCCACCATGCCTGGCTTTTTTTTTTTTTTTTTTTTGAGATGAAGTTTCACTCTGTCACCAGGCTGGAGTACAGTGGCTTGATCTCGGCTCACTGCAACCTCTGCCTCGAGGGTCCAAGTCATTCTTCTGCCTCAGCCTCCTGAGTGGCTGAGACTACAAGTGCATGCCACTACAACCAGCTAATTTTTTATTTTTAGTTGAGACAGGGTTACACCTTGTTGGCCAAGCTGATCTCAAACTCCTGGCCTCAGGTGATCTGCTGCCTCAGCCTCCCAAAGTGCTGGGATTACAGGGGTGGACCACCACACCCAACCCAGTTCATTATCCTTAATAATAATTATTTTAATAATCTTTCATAATAAACTAGACAATAAACTAGTTGTCTAAAATCTTCCAAATACATGAAGAAAATGTCTGAGCTGTCGAGTCAAAAATGCCATTTAGATTTCACATATTAAATAGCTACAGTCTAGCTTACAAAAGTATAAACATGCCTAACACATAAATAATACTTTATTCTTTAGATAGACAAAAGTCAGAAGAAGCTGCATGGTTTGCAAGGTACTTTGACTTATGCATGGTTACTAAAACCCAGTAAGTAATTCAAGTATGGTAATACAAAGGCAGGCTGTTAAATGCACCAATATCACTCTAAAATCAAAGGCATAAAAATAAAGGGTGAAAACTGTGCTTCTCCATCTTTCATTTACATGGCCAAATATCAGAACCTTACTTTAGAAAATATACAATTATTTTTTTAAAAAAGAAAATATACAATTATTATATATTATTTCCCCAGATGGTAATTTTCAGAAACTACAAAAAGTGTCAAGATCCATAGTTTGCTTCATCAAATGCTTTTCTAGCTTCTTTCAAGTCTTCATTTATCGTAAGCAAGTCTTTAATCCTGGCAAACTTCCTTAGGTACCTTCGAATCAAAAACACAGTATCTTCAACTTGTATCAACCTTGTCTTCCAATAGACATTGCCTTGTGAGTCATTTCAGTGATAAACTCTATGACAAGATCTTCAAGAATATCCACTGACTCAGTATAAGGATTCTGGTCATCCCCAAAGCCATACATCATACATCACAATTCTTTAGAAAAAAGTGTCTTTCTTTTACCCTGTCCACCTTTTTCACCTCCTCCAATTTCTTCATTTTCTCCCTCAAAGGTGGGGTCCTCTTCCTCATCTGCCATCCCACTAGCCAGCCAACCCCCAGCGCCCACAATTTTTTTTCTTTTTAAGGCAAGTTTTCGTTGTGTTGCCTAGGATAGAGTGCTGTGGTGGATAGCCCACTGCAACTTCAAACTCCTGGGCTCAAGCTGTCCTCCTGCCTCAGCTTCCTAAAATGCAATGTTTTAAAAAATATTTTCCGGGCCGGGCGCGGTGGCTCCCGCCTGTAATCCCAGCACTTTGGGAGGCCAAGGCGGGTGGATCACGAGGTCAAGAGATCCAGACCATCCTGGTCAACATGGTGAAACCCTGTCTCTACTAAAAATACAAAAAAATTAGCTGGGCACGGTGGCGTGTGCCTGTAATCCCAGCTACTCAGGAGGCTGAGGCAGGAGAATTGCCTGAACCCAGGAGGCGGAGGTTGCGGTGAGCCGAGATCGCACCATTGCACTCCAGCCTGGGTAAGAAGAGCGAAACTCCGTCTCAAATAAAAAATAAAAAAATTTAAAAAATAATAATTTCCGTTCACATTGAACCCACAGATGCAGAAACCATGGCTATGGAGGGCCAATTATACTATCAACAACTCTGGTTGGCACTTTTCTTGCCTGTTTAAGGGAATAAAAATGATGCAACCTGTCAGGGCTGGTGTGGAAGCAACACTACCCAGGCGGTAGTGCAATGGCGCTATCTCGGCTCACCGCAACCTCCGCCTCCCGGGTTCAGGCAATTCTCCTGCCTCAGCCTCCTGAGTAGCTGGGATTACAGGCACGCGCCACCATACCCAGCTAATTTTTTTGTATTTTTAGTAGAGACGGGGTTTCACCATGTTGACCAGGATGGTCTCGATCTCTTGACCCCGTGATCCACCCGCCTTGGCCTCCCAAAGTGCTGGGATTACAAGCGTGAGCCACGGCGCCCGGCTGCCTTCCCTCTTTCTTACGTGAATTTGGGCCTCTGTTTTCCAAAATTCCTCCTGACATACCCTCAATTCTTTTTATTTCTTCTTTAGTGAAATTAGCTTATTGTGTTCTAAACTAATTATCTGTATTTGAATTAGAAAAGGAGCTGATATGGTTTGGCTGTGTCACCACCCAAATCTCATCTTGAATTGTAGTTCCCATAACCCCCACGTTCCCATTACCTCCATGCTGCTATTCTCATGATAGTGAGTGAGCTCTCACAAGATCTGATGGTTTCAGAAGGGGCTTTTCCCTCTTCGCATGGCACTTCTCCTTCCTGCTATCATGTGAAGAGGATGTGTTTGCTTCCCCTTCTGCCATGATTGTAGTTTCCTGAGGCCTCCCCAGCCATGCGGAACTGAGTCAACTAAACCTCTTCCTTTATAAATTACCAAGTCTCAGGCAGTTCTTTATAGCAGTGTGAGAATGGACTAATACAGAAGCCTTTGTGAAAAGGCAAAATGTCTTTGCATCCTGGTTTTATAATTCTTAATGCAGTGGCTGCAGATAGAGGGTTCAATAGGATTTGTTAGTTGCTATATCATCTTTATTATTCTGTAAGTGCTGATATTGTACAGTTGATAGAATGGGACATGAATAACTTTTATAGAATACAAATCTTCAAATTCAATAATTTATTAGTACAGTGCACAGCCAGTGTGCTTGGGGGCAGCTCCAGCTGATGAATCACCTCCCGTGGCCTGGCTCTCTTGGTAACTTAAGTGCTCCCAAACAAGGGAATAGTTTAGCTGAGTTAGAGATGCTTTGGGTGGGAAAATTAGGGAGCTTGGGTGTAGGAGAAGGCTCAGTGGTCCAGGAAAGGAGAGGAGACAATAACTTTCATGACAGAGAGACAATTCTGGAGTTAAGATGATGCTAGAAAGTTAGCAAGTGACTTTCCTGAAGCCATTTCATGCAGATGGGGCTGGCTGTCATTTTACCCTTTTTCTCATCAAAATTTTTCAATTAAAATTTGAAACACTAATTTTTATCAAAGAAGTCAAGGATAGGGTTGCCAGATAAAATACATGAAGCCCAGATAATTTTGACTTTCAAATAAACTGAATAATTTGTTAGTATAAATGTGTTCCAAATATTGCGTGGGACTTATGCTAAAAAATTATTTGTCATTTACCTGGAACTCAAATTTAAACTGGGCTTCCTGCATTTTTATTTTATAAATCTGGCCACACTAGTCAGCGAAAAATAAAATTCACTCACAGAAACCCACAGTGCTGCTAACGCCCGTTTAAAGAGACACGGCCCTTGATCCACACAGACACATGCTACATAATCACAAATGCAGGTTATAATTCTTCTTTTAATGTGACTGATGTTATTTTGATGACTTTTAGGTCAAACTCAGATTCCCAGTTACAGGCACCCTTGGCTAGTTTTATCTGTGTAACATTCAAGGCTGCATATGTGATCATGATCTTGGGTTTCATCTGAGGTGTTAGAAGCCATGTCTCTTGAGGTACTTGGCTCGTGCAAGAACATCATTGCAGAAGTCACAGCTCAGGTCCTGGCTGCTTCGGACATAGCCAGCACCCCCACTGTAGGCACAGAGTCCACCTGAAACGCATGAGATAGGTTAATGTGACCTACTCGGCAGTTAAGTCTGATTCTCTATCAGGAGGCAACTGGGGTTTGGGGGAATCTGGTGCAATGTATTACGTTTGTCCCTATTAATTCTGTGCTTGAGACAACTGACTGACAGTGTTACACATACCTCTCAGGTACTGGTCAGGGGTCCAGGTTGGAAACCTCCTCTGGATTTCTTTGATTCTAGTAGTCAGAACCTCAGTCATCTGAGAAACCTGAGACTCACTAATCCAGGAAGTGGGAGCATAAGAGCCAGGGTCCTAGAGGGAGGGAGGCAGAGAAGAAGCCAAGTAAGCTGAGTGGGAGGATGATCCAGCTTCTTGGGCTCAGTGGCACTTGTTCAGAACTTTCCCTTTTCTTGTTCTTTTACCTTTCAATTGAACCAATGCCACCTTCAATCTCCCTGTGAGGCAGGTTAGATAGGGTGGTCAAAGCCTCCCTACAGGGAACAAACTTGCCAGATAGATGGAGAGAACAAACTTCTGACAGTGCACAAATGACATTCAGGACTCATGGTTAGAATATCCTACAGTGCCAGGAAAGGCTGCTCATGCCTATAATCCCAGCATTTTGGGAGGCTGAGGCAGGTGTATCACTTAAGCTCAGGATTTCGAGACCAGCGTCAGCAACACAGGGAAACTTCATCTATACAAAAAATACCAAAATCAGTGGTGTGTGCCTGTAGTCCCAGCTACTGGGAAGGCTGACGTGGAAGGATCACCTGAGCCTAAAAAGATTGACTGAGCCTGGGAGGCAGCGGTTGCAGTAAGCCATGACTGCACCACTGCATTCCATCCTGGGTAACAGAGTAAGACCCTGTCTCAAGAAAAAGAAAATTCTGCAGCGAGGAGGACAAAGAGCAGAAGGGAAAATCCCCAAATCGGTGCAAGAAGAGAAATCCACAATTAATGTCCTTGGGCTGACCTATGCTCATTATAAGGGTGAAAAAAAGAAAAGCACACACCTGGTTGGAGAATTAAAATGCTGAGACATATGATGTATGTGCTAACTTGCACAGCAATAGCACATGTGCATCCAGGAGACCCCAAAACATGCTTAACAGCAACATCCATTCCCTCTCTCTCATAAATAATCATAAAAGCTTTCCATAAAGGAATTTTCCCAAAGTCACTTGAGGCTGTCTTATTCTCCACCCAGCTACCAGAGTGTACTTTTGCCTTGCAATAAACTTCCTCACCTACATTTACTTTGGACTTGCTCTCAAATTATTCCGTGCAGCAAAGTCAAGAACTTGAACTGGCCCTCCAACAACACCTGGAGATTAAATAGTAAAGCTATTTGTACCTGTTAGGATAGCTATTGACAAAAATGCAAAAGACTGGTGCTATAATTTGAATGTTTGTCCCCTGTGAAATTCATGTTGAAATTTAATCCCCCATGTGGCAGTATTGAGAGGTGGGGCCTTTAAGAGATGATTAGATGAATCCATTCATAGATCGATGGATTAGTGGGTTAATGGTTATCACAGGAGTGGGGCTGGTGGCTTTATAAGAAGAAGAAGAGAGACAGCCAGCACATTCAGCCTCTCACCATGTGATGCCCTGAGCCACCTTGGGACTCTGCAGAGAGTCCCCACCAGCCAGAAGGCTCTACCAGATGTGTCCCCTTGACCTTGGGGTCCACAGCCTCCAAAACTGTCAGAAATAAATTTTATTTTTCATAAATTACCCAGATTTAGGTATTCTTAATAAGCACCAGAAAACAGACTAAGACAACGGGGGTTGGTGAGGATGTAGAGAAACTGGAATCATTGTACATTGTTGATGACAATGCGAAATGGTGCAGCTACCATGGAAAACCGTATTGTGGTTTCTCAAAAAATAAAATTAGAACTACTATATGGGCCAGGCGCAGTGGCTCCCACCTGTAATCCCAGCACTTTGGGAGACTAAGGTGGGTAGATCACCTGAGGTCAGGAGTTCGAGACCTGCCTGGCCTCTTGGCTATTGGCAACAGCTTTGCAAACATCTGTGGGAGCTCAGGTATCTCTTAGATCTCCTGATTCCAATTCTTTTGGATGAATACCCAGAAAGAGAATTTCATCTGTCAGGTATATTTAGGTTGTTTCTACCTCTTGGCTATTGGGAATAGCTTTGCAATGAATGTGGGAGTGTAGATATCTCTTAAAGATACTGATTCCAGGGGCCGGGCGCGGTGGCTCACACCTGTAATCCCAGCACTTTGGGAGGCTGAGACGGGTGGATCACGAGGTCAAGAGATAGAGACCATCCTGGTCAACGTGGTGAAACCCCGTCTCTACTAAAAATACAAAAAAAGCTGGGCACGGTGGCACGTGCCTGTAATCCCAGCTACTCAGGAGGCTGAGGCAGGAGAATTGCCTGAACCCAGGAGGCGGAGGTTACGGTGAGCCGAGATCGCGCCATTGCACTCCAGCCTGGTAACAAGAGCGAAACTCGGTCTCAGAAAAAAAAAAAGATACTGATTCCAAATCTTTTGGATGAATACGCAGAAAGAGGATTTCTAAATCATATGGTAGGGGTGTGTGTGTGTGTGTGTGTGTGTGTGTGTGTGTGACAGAGTCTTACTCTCTGGCCCAGGCTGGACTGCAGTGGTGTGATCTCAGCTCACTGCAACCTCTGATTCCCAGGTTCAAGTGATTCTCCTGCTTTAGCCTCCTGAGTAGCTGGGATTACAGGTGTGTGTCACCACATGGCTAATTTTATATTTTTGGTAGAGAAAGGGTTTCTCCATGTTCATCAGGCTGATCTCTAACCCCCGATCTCAGGTGATCTGCCTGCCTTGGCCTCCCAAAGTGCTGGGATTACAGGCATGAGCCACTGTGCCCACCCCTATTTTAGTTATTTTTAAATTTCACTATGATTTGTTTTTTTAACCTAAGAGTTACTTAGTGGTGTGTGTGTGTGTATGTGTATGTGTGTGTGTGTGTGTGTGTATGTATGTGTGTGTATTTTAAATTTCCATATGATTAGAGATATTTTAAAAATTATCTTCTAGCATAACTGTATTATTGTGGGATCTGAAATTTTTGAGGATTTCTTTAGTAGATGATATATGATCAACTTTTGTAAAATGTTCCTCATGAATATGAGACCATTGTATATATCCTAATGGATACATAAATAATTATAATTATATCCTCCCCTTCTCTCTCTTTTTCCTTCTCTCTCTCCCCCTGACCCCCAATTAACAATAAAGCTTGTTAATTCTGTTCTTGTTATGTGATAGCCTAACAGCCTCCATCTTAGACGTAAGCCTGACAAACTCCATCCTAGCCTCTCCCTCCCCACCATTTCTCTGTGTGCACAGCTGGGTCGCACTGTACCCAGTAACTTGTAACCATTGTAACTACAGCCTGCTTAGCAAGTCTACCTGCTATTGTGAGTAACCTACCACACTTGGTGACTGACTGATTGTATGTAGACTCCCTGCTTCCCCCCTTGGTAACCAACAATCCTGGGAACCTCCTGCCTCCTGGTTGCCAGCTTCCTTAACCAACTTGCTTGCTCTGCTTCTGTAATTCCGCTTTCCCAGCCCCCTTCTCTAAGCAAGGAATCAAGCCTCTTCAGCCAAGAGAGTTTGAGCACGAGCTGACTCCCCATCGCCGGCAATAAAGGATTCTCAATTGGAACAAAGAGTGTGGCACTTTCCTTCTAACTCACTTGGGTATAACAGTGACATGTGTCAATTGTTTTACTGATTTTTCATCTCTATCTTTGCTGATTTATTTATTGTATAACCAGTAAATAATCAAAGAGATGTGTTGATATTTTCCACTATGATAGCACATTTATTATTATAATAATTTTTGCTGCACGTATTTTGAGGCTATTTTACTGTTGTCTATTTGTTTTAAATTGCTATACTTCCTTGATAAATTCTGTCTTTTTATTATGTCATGATTCTCTCTATCCCAAATATTTTTGTTCTAAAGTGTATTTTATTTAATATATCATAGTTATCAACATTATTTTGATTATTGTATTCCTGATACGTCTTCTTCTTACCATAGTTTTACTTCAAACTTTTGCGTATTCAAATGCGCTGTTTCTCACATAAACCATTTAAATCTAGGCTTTTAATCTAATTCATATATCTGTGTCTTTAAACCAAAAAGTTTCATCTATTTATATTAACCATAATTATTAATGTCTTCTAATTGCTACTATCATCTTAATTTCTTATTTCAATGTGTCCCTCTTTTTCTACATTTCTTTTTGCTCCTGTCTTTATTGTTATTATTATTATTAGACAGAGTCTCGCTCTCTCACCCAGATTGGAGTACAGTGGTATGATTTCAGCTCACCGAAACCTCCGCCTCCCAGGCTCAAGTGATTCTCCTGCCTCAGCCTCCTGAGTAGCTGGGATTACACATGCCCGCCACTACCACCTGGCTAATTTTTGTATTTTTAGTAAAGACAGGATTTCACCTTGTTGGCGAGGCTGGTCCCGAACTCCTGACCTCAAATGATCCACCTGCCTTGGCTTCCTAAAATGCTGGGATTAAAGGCAGGAGCCACGCTGCCCAGCCTATGTTGTAATTGACACTATGTCTCACCCTAATAAGGCAAGGACTCTCTGATTTCTTGTCTCCCCATCATGTTGACCAAACCTAAACTCTGGGTTTTACTTAAAATGTGGTCCAGGGACCAGCAACATCAGCAACAACTGGGAACTTATTTATTAGACTTGCAGAACTTAGGGCCCCATTTCAGACCTACCAAGACAGAATTCTCATGTAAACAAGAGCCCCAGTGTTCATATGCACAATAAGCTTCGAGAGTCACTAAATTACACTTTAAAAAAAAATCTGTGGCTGGGTAAAGTAGCTCACTCCTATAATCCCAGTACTGTGGGAGCCTGAGGCAGGCAGACCACTTGAGTCCAGGAGTTCAAGACCAGCCTGCACAAGAAACCTCATCTCTACAAAAAATACAAAAATTAGCCAGGCATGAGGGCACATGCCTGTAGTCTCAGCTATTCAGGAGGCTGAAGCAGGAGGATCACATGAGCCCAGGAGGCAGAGGTTGCAGTGAGCTGAGATGGTGCCACTGCGTTCCAGCCTGGGTGATGAAGCCTGATCCTGTCTCAAAAAAGAAAAAATCTGTTCAGATGATAGATATTATGCTAAGTGTTCTTGCCAAAGAAAAAATGTAGTAAACTTACAAGGTTTGGGCTAAGAAAGGGATGAGCAGATATTAATTCATTCACCAGTTAATGACTGAGTTAGTGTAGGTAGCAGTGATGCCCTCCTTCAATGCTGCCAATGCAAAGCCTCCAAATAGGCCAGAAAGGTTTTTTTGTCTGAACTTGCAATTCTTTTTCCAGATGGTCTGAGTGTCCAAAGAGACGTCTAACCCTTCTTATACACCTTTGATTACCACTTCCACGTAGGTTTCATCATATTTGGGACAAATGTCTCCAAATCTAGGGAATTCTCTCTCTCTCTTTTTTTTTTTTTTTTTTTTTGAGATGGAGTCTCATTCTGTTGCCCAGACTGGAATGCAGTGGCATGATCTCAGCTCACTGCAACCTCTGCCTTGAAGATTCAAGTGATCCTCCCACCTCAGCCTCCTGAGTAGCTGGGATTACAGGCATGCACCACCACATCCAGCTAATTTTTGAATTTTAGTAGAGATCAGGTTTCACCATGTTGGCCCAGCTGGTCTTGAACTCCTGACCTCAAGTAATCTGCCCTTCTGCCCTCCTTTATCTCCTAAAGTGCTGGGATTACAGGCATGAGCCACTGCACCTGGCCCAAATCTAGGGAATTCTTATTTCATCTTCAAAAGAGATAGACTCATTCTTTCCTCGAAAATCAGATTTTACAAAGGAGACAGAACAGCGCAGTGGAAATGATGCCAGCCCTAATATCACAAGATACTGTTCTCAGTCCCAGTTCTGCATCTTGCAGCTGCTATGTGACTTTGTAGCAACAACTCCTTCCTTGTGATTCTGTTTCCTCCCTTGTCAAGGATGGATTACATGTCTCTCATCCCATCTCATCAGATTATTGGATGGGTTTCCAAATCCAAGTAAAATAAAGTATAAAGCATTGGAAAGTACTTTAAAAGTAAGCAAATTTAAAGAGATCATTGAGAAATAAATTTTTGTAAAATCTTAAAAAATGACTGCAATAATCACAGGTTTCTCAACAACAACCACAAAAGCAGTGTGAGATCAATGGAAAAAATTGAGCCTCATTCTCACCCTTGCCATCACTGATTCCCTGGTGCAGAGTTAATTCAACAGTGGATTAGTGACCAGTTCCCCAGAACTCTCTATCTGACAAATGATACCAGGGAGAATTCATGCAAAAATAAAACTTGATCTTCACAACTAAGAATTGTACAGAAAAAAAGATAAAGGAAAAGAAATTTAATATTTTTTGAGAATCCAACAGATATCAGGTACTTTTTTGCATTATTTCATTGAATCATCATAATTATGCTGTAAGAATGGTATTTTATAGGTTGGGAAACAAAGACCCAGTGAGATTAAATAACTTATTCAAGGTCAAATGGCTACAAAATAACTGAGGAAAGATTTAATTTGTGGTCTTTCTCTTGGACCACTTACTGAAAATCCAGAATAGGGTTAGCCCAGATAATATTCTGTAAACACAGCATTATTTACTGTGAAAAGAAATTGCGGCTCAGCATGAAGCAGAAATGTTGCTGCCCATATCTCTCAGGCAGAACTGTGACTGTCACAGCTCTAGAGAGCTTCATTCATTCTGCAATCTATGAAGCTTTGCCATCAACCAAAAAATGAAGCAGTTGCGCCACATAGCAGAATGGCCATGTGTCAACAGATGGAGAGTTACCTGCACCAAGCTAGTCCTATCACCCACGTTGACCAGACTGTTGTCACTGGGAGACTTCCTGGACAAGACACCAGCGATCACAGCAGGATCCATGCAGTACTTTTGGCTAATGGTTTGCATCATGGGCTGATATTTCAGGAGGTATGGCATGTCTATTTCAGCCAGCCTTTCAGAAGCACGAACTCCTAAAGCAAACACAAAAGGAAGGCTGCAGCTTGGTGTGACTTATGCTGCAACGGGAGCTCAAGGGGGGCAAGAAAGAACTCTCCAAGGATCTGGGTAGTGATCAAGGACTGAGAATCCCAGATTTTGGTCTTAAATATTTAGTAGTGGCCACTCCCTGACCTGAGGTTAGGGCTTTCCTCCTGTGAGCTTGAGTCAGCATCCCTTGAGCCAGGGTCCGCTGTGGCTGTGGGTGCCCCTCACTGGGCTCTCAGGGGCTGCTCTGGCCCACCAGGACAATTCCATAGGCATAGGAACCATTGGTCCCATTCTAAGCACCCCAATGAAATAAAATTTGCCTGCCCATCAGCTACAACATGACGTGAAGGAGAAATTCTGCCAAACCCTTTGGTAAGTCTTTAGATAGTGTTCTTCAGCAGGTTTGTTCACAATTGCCCAGTTTTGCACTCCTAAACATGACCAAGAAATTGTGCAAGTTTAAACCTTTCTGAAATAATAAGAATGCTGGGCAAAAGGAAAGCCCGTATTAATCTACCTGGCTAGCTTTTCCTTCTAGGTGCTTTCGTGGTTTAAAAAGCACTCTCAGCCAAGCACAATGGCTCATGCCTGTAATCCCAGCACTTTGGGAGGCCAAAGAAGGAGGATCACCTGAGGTCAGGAGTTTGAGATCAGCCTGACCAACATGGTGAAATTCCATCTCTACTAAAAGTACAAAATTAGCCAGGCATGGTGGCACATGCCTGTAATCCCAGCTACCTGGGATGCTGAGGCAGGAGAATCGCTTGAACCCTGGAGGAGAAGGCCGCAGGGACCTGAGATTGCACCACTGCACTCCAGCCTGGGCAACAAGAGAGAAACTTGGTCTCAAAAAAAAAAAAAATACAAAATGAAAAGCACTCTTGTACACATTGTGTCAATCAGAGCTCGCAACAACACTGTAAATATTATATTGCTAGCCCCCTTTCTACAGATGCAGGGGACAGATAAGTGACTTGTTCAAGAAACAGAACCAGGGCTCTGACAAGGCTTTGGGACCCGAAACCTGGAACTCTTTCCAGCACGGGAAACAGTGAGAGCCAAGGGGATAGGTTGAGACGGCGAGAGTGGACAAGGAGCTCATAACTACCACAGTAGTTCAGGCCATGACGTCTTCCAGTCCTACAAGATGCTCCAGGGGTGTCCAGGGTTTGAATGTTTCCATAGCATCCCCAGTTGCTGCTTTCAGACAAATCTACAATTTGAGAAAAGTTCAACCTAAGGCATGGAACTAGGATAGTTCTCATCATTCATGAATCATGAATCATGAATCATCCATGAATAAAATGACATTAATAAAAGTAATTATAATAAAATCAATTACATCAACTTCATTCTGCAATTGAAACTCTTGAAATTTAAATGAGAAAGATGCCAATAAATTATCACAAGACCTACCTCAATACTAAATTCTCACTTGCTATCCTGTGGACATCAGTAACTATTGAAGCTACTGAAGCAGTTACACTCTTTGTAAAGCTCTGGTGCCCTTAGATGTTCTTAGGTGGTGTCTTGGAACACATCAGGGAGGATCTGTTCCCTGTACAGTAGTCCTCATCTGACATATTTTTCTTTTTTTTGAGACAGAGTCTGGCTCTGTCACCCAGGCTGGAGTGCAGTGGCACGATCTCAACTCACTGCAACCTCTGCCTCCTGGGTTCAAGTGATTCCCCTGTCTCAGCCTCCAGAATAGCTGGGATTACAGGTACCCTCCACCATGCCCAGCTGATTTTTGTATTTTTAGTAAAGACAAGGTTTCACCAAGTTGGCCAAGCTGGTCTCGAACTCCTGACCTCAGGTGATCCACGCGCCTTGGCCTCCCAAAAGTGCTGGGATTACAGGTGTGGGCCACCATGTAAGGCCTCATCTTACATCTTATATAAACTCTGAGCACTTTATCAAATACTCCTAACTTGTTGCTCTGATAAAGTATTTATGTTTGCTCTGAAGAAACAAGCATAAAACCTGAATCTCTCTGGGGTATCAACCCAGATCCAAAGTAAGGCACTGCTTGTAAATGGGGATTTGAGGTTGGCTACAATTTCTCTCAGGTACGCTTCTAGATAAGAGCCTAAGGCTGCAAAAGAGAGTGCAAGGAGACAGGCATGGGACCAGTCTCCACATGAGCTCTCCCACTTTCTGCTTCTTCCCTTTTTCCTTTTCTCCTTTCCATCTCTCTCTACCTCTGTCATTCCTGTTGACACTGAAGGGGAGTAGTGGTTTCAGATACTCAGGATTTCACAAAGGCCATAGAAGAAGAGGATGTTTCTTCCCTTCACATCAGGAGGAGGGTGCACGAGTATTTATAATATATCTACAATTTACACAAGGTGGGTGCACAAGTATTTATAATACATCTACAATTCACACCAGAATGGGGGCACATGAGCCAGTACTAAGATACCTACAGTAGGCAGGAAATTGCTCCTTTTGAGAATTATCTCACCATTATAAGGCTGTAAGAATGTCTCATTAGATTACTCTTATATTTATTTATGTATGTATTTATTTATTTTTAGACAGAGTCTCACTGTCGCCTAGGCTGGAGTGTAGTGGCATGATCAAGACTCACCACAGCCTCAACCTCCCAGGCTCAAGCTATCCTCCCATCTCAGCCTTTCGAGTAGCTGGGACCACAGGCACAAGCCACCACGCCTGGCTAATTTTTTGAAGAGATGGGGTTTCGCCATGTTGCCCAGGCTGGTCTCAAAGTCTTGAGCTCAAGCGATTTACCCGTCTGGACCTCCCAAAGTGCTGGGATTACAGGCATGAGCCACCATGCCCGGCCAGATTACTCTTTTTGATTTATTTGATCCTTTGACCAAAGTATATTAGATTATTAAAAGTTAACGATTTGCAGATCTTTGGAGCTATATCTATTGTATATAATCATATGTGTCCTGTATGTTTATATAAATGCATTTTAAGATTCTATTTTCTTACTAAGAGCTTTATGGAGTTAATAAATACTAGTATTTTGGAGTAAACACTTCTACTTCAGAGACTTGTGATAAGTAACCTAAGAGAAAAGTGGAAACAAAAAGACCGGGTCTTTTATGAGTATACTAAAAATTAAACCAGCTGACATGTTTTTTATTTTTTAATCAGTGCGCTTTTATCTTTATGACTGGCGACAAATACCCTTAGTGTTGCAGTTGGTTCTATCACTCCTTGGTTCCTGCCTTGTGGACCTCTCCTCAGCCATATTCTATGATCCTCAAAGTTCCTTGTATTCCCAATGCTTAGCACCTTGTAGAAATTTTTAAATATCTGTTGAATGAATAGGTCAATAACTAAATGAATGATTGTAAGACCTCATCTGAGAAATTTATTGAACTTGGAGTTAGGAAAATTTAGCTTCTCCTGAGGAACTTTGCTTACTCCTTTTATTTATTAAAAAACAAGTAGGGTGGTCGTGGTGGATCACACCTGTAATCCTGGCACTTTGGGAGGCTGAGGTGGGAGGATCATGAGGTCAGGAGTTCGAGACCAGCCTGGCTAACATGGTGAAACCCCATCTCTACTAAAAATTTAAAAATTAGCCAGGAGTTGTGTCGGGTGCCTATAATCCCAGCTACTCAGGAGGCTGAGGCAGGAGATTGCTTGAAACTGGAAGATGGAGGTTGCAGTGAACTGAGATCGCTACTGCACTCCAGCCTGGGCAAAAGAGCAAAACTCCATCTCAAAAAACAAAAAGTAATTTCCATTTTTGCGCCAACTGCAAAGCTGAAGTTCAATCACAGCAACTATGTCAGCCTCAATGGTCAGCTTAGTCACATCTACTTGGTTGCCTTGATTCTGGTTTTCTATTTGAATTAGTCTTATTCATTAGTCTTATTATGGTAACCACCTCAATTCTTCTATAGAAATATATGCTCTAGAAACAAATTCAATTTGGCATATTTTACAGTTGACAATGAGCAGCTATCAATGGTGTATATTTAAAGCCTGGCTTCAAGCAATGCTGTTTTAAGACCACCTTGCATTCCAGAGAACCCCACTTTTCTGTGGGGCATTTAGGGAGAGACTGCTTGTTGGTGGCCATTCCTAACTCCAGGATTTATTGGACAGTTTAGGAAAAAAATAATGGTTTGTTGCATTTTCAAGTATCAGAAGTGCCATTATGTTCCTGTGCTCATCCTTCCCATGTCCAAAGTCATTTGGAAAAGTCAGTCACACTCACCCACAAGGGCAAGAAGGCCCAGCAGCAGCCACAATGCAGGCATGATGACGATCTGGCTCTACAGTTCCTGAAACACTTCTAAAAACAAAAATTAGCTTGAGGATGCAAAAATGTCAATCATCATCATAACAACATGTAATGTTTCTATGGAAGCAAGGGTGAAAAAAATTTTTTTCCCATATCTGACCTAAGAAAATGAATGATTTGCATCATAGTGAAAAAAAGCAAAAGTAGGACAAGTAAGTGCTCCATTCTCCCTTTCAATTAACCTAAAAATGAGAAGACTCTTAGCCCACAGGAACTCAACATAGAGTCAAGTTACCAACTACCTTATCTCAAGAAGGCAAGATACTTTGAATCTCAGCCACTAAGAAACATACTGACCTGGCTCCAGATGCTGAAAAGCAAATTTTTGATGCCCATGCCTCATCTCAAGAGGCTCTTTATTATCTCTATTATCAAAAGGAGAATTTTGTATTAGTGATTTCTTGGAATTTAGGTCCCTTCTATTTCAGGTTTGAGGAAAGACCACACTTTCCTCAGTGCCCTGGAATGTACACTGGTTGAAGATGTTTCCCACTGCTCTACCCCTAGCCTGGAATTACAGACCCCCTTTATCACCTTTATCCCCATTCTCCCTCTGTAAAACCCCCCACTGTGGCAACAAACCTGGACCAGAGCCCACGGAGAATGGAAAGATGAGCTACCTCCACCAGCAAATCCCCGAGAAGCTGGCAGGGATTCCACGACTGAACTCATAAGGTGCTCACAAGACTGGAGAATGAACACTTGGCCACCATGGAGCACCCCCTCATGTGCTCTCTCTCTCTCTCTTATCCCAACCATTCCCCTAATCACCGTCCATGAGTACAAACAGCCCTGGTTCTCCTACTAGCTACCAAACCAATACACAAATACCACCCAGGATAGTTTACCGGTGACCCCAGGGAATGGTAGAGTTTCTGGCCCCTTGCCTCCAAGACACCTCCAACCAAGCCCTCCCACTGCAGGATATATGTCATCATCGTCCTGGTCAGTGGAGCCTGGCAGCCTAGCATTTTGAATTATCACTATTGTTACATGTGGAAATGTGCATATAAACATGGTACTTGGTTCTTTCATGGTGCTTTTCTCATCTCTTTTGTTTTAAGGTTAATCTTATTGGTGGTTTCCTTCAAATGCCCAGGAAGAGATTACATCTGAAGATGGAGAGTCCTTAAGGAAGTTATTTGAAGCCAGGTGTGGTGGCACACACCTGTAGATCCTGCTACTCGGGAGGCTCAGGCAGGAGGATTGCTTGAGCCCAGAGGGTCAAGGTACAGTGAGCAATGATCACACCACTGCATTCCGTCCTGGGAAACAGAACAAGACCCAGTCTCAAAAAATAAAAATAAAAGAGAAAAAAGAAGTAATTCAATTTCTGTCTCCTTAAACTTAGGGGCACATGCCCTTCGGATGCAGTCATACTTTTTGTTATTTACTCTACAACATTGAGATGGTCTGTCCAATTTTGCTTAGTTGAGCAGAAAATGTCATGCTCAGTCCCAACACCAAAAAGTTTCAGGGACTTGGAATCCTAGCTAAGTCTCCAGGAACGCTCAGATTTAATCCAACAGGAGTCATTTATTCAGCACCCTGAGTCTCTAGCAGTAAATGAGAGAGGACAACCGATACCAGAAGAAAAAAATGCAGAAAAAGCTGCTTGGGTACAGGAGAAGCTCATGGGCTCATGAAAGTGCATCACTGGCTTTATGGCAGGACCCCTCAGGAAAAAGCACTGCTCACATTCAAATGCTCCACCCAGGGTACTTCACTGTTTTTGCTGCTTTTCCAGGAAAGAAAAATACTTCTTCTTGGACCAAGTGGAAGGACTTAGTTTTTATTGTAACAGGAGAGTTACCTTATTTTCCATGCATGGAACTAAATATCTGTGGTGACAAGTCATTTCAATGAAAGAGTCTGTGTAAATCCATGTGCCACTTGATGGGAACATAGAATTACTTTCTGGTTGCCCCTGGGACCAGGTCTTTCTTCAAGGTAATTTTTTTTTTCAGTTTTGTCAGGGAAGAGCAAGAAGTCATAATGAATTTTTTCTTTTTTTTCTTAGACCAGAGTTTCACTCTGTCACCCAGGCTGGAGTGCAGTGGCACAATCATAGCTCCCTGCAGCCTTGACCTCCTGGGCACAAGTGGTATTCCCACCTCAGCCTCCTTAGTAGCTGGAACTAGAGGCATGTGCCACCATACTCAAATAATTTTTTAGTTTTGTTGTAGAAATAGGTCTCACTATATTTCCCTGGCCGGTCTTGAACTCCTGGCCTCAAGTGATCCTTCCACCTCAGCTTCTCAAGTAGGTGAGATTATAGGCTTAAGCCACCACACCTAGCTTGGAATTGTTCAGTGGATAAACAATGTGTTTTGTCCATAAATACATGTTGAAGCAACCCCAACTCTATGGCCCAACTTAACACGTGCTGAGAAGTCTCTATGTTTAGAAGAGATTGTTGAAGCGTCACTCGGGTGTGCTCAAGGAGTGTCTGTCAGTTACCTATGACTCATTTGTTAATTCCCCTGTGACTCCCTGCTTAAAACCATTATGAAGATGTCAGACCAAGGCAGCACAGTGGCCATGATGCCAAGCACGATGTCTGTGGTGGCATCCCTCTTCTCCCTACCTGGAGAGCAAAATACTAACAAACGGCAAGGGGGTGCCAACAAGCCGGAGAGACAGGCCTGCCAGGCACCCTGGAAACTGACAACCAGAGCATCCCTCAGGAGCTACCTTATGTTCCTTGTGGCCTGGATGGGGGCATCTTCCTTTACCCACCCTCTCTCCACTGACCACTTTGGAATTCCCAAAGCACTGTTTAAGTTTATAAGGCATCATAGGCCATGTCTTCCTCAGTTGATCAATTTTTCTGGAAAAGGTAGAAACAGGTGTCTTTGGTCTTGTGATTTTCTCACCTTAGAACCTTTTCCATGAATGCTCTTCAACCTTTACCTTAGCCTTAAACAGTATTATTGCAGATCTTTAGGGCCCTCCATCCACCCTAGAAATGTGATGTATTAACACCTCAATGTGCCGAGTGATGAAGGTAGCCCTTGCCTCATTGCAGTGTCCCCATGTAATCCTGGGAGAACTGAGAACTGCTGTACACATCCACAGTAGGCACAGTCTCCTTCTCTAGGCTGTGTTGTCATCCTTGTCTATTGCTAACATGCCTCTGCATCTACCTACTCATTGTGTGTTGATAGGTCTTTCTTTTTTAAAATTTTTAATTTTAATTTTATATTTAAATTATTTTTTGTTTTGTTTTGTTTTGTTTGAGATGGAGTCTCACTCAATCACCCAGGCTGGAGTGCGGTGGTGCACTGAGTTCAGTGATTTTCCTGTCTCAGCCTCCCAAGTAGCTGGAATTATAGGCACACATCTCCATGCCTGCCTAATTCTTGTGTTTTTAGTAGAGATGGGGTTTCACCATGTTAGCCAGGCTGGTCTCAAACTCCTGATCTCAGGTGATCTACCCACGTCAGCCTCTCAAAGTGCTGGGATTACAGGCATGAGCCACCATGCCCAGCCCCTGAGTTTTTGTCTGTTTGTTTTTGAGATAGAGTCTTGCTCTGTTTCCCAGGCTGGAGTGTAGTGACATGATCTTGGCTCACTGCAGCCTCAACCTGACTGGGCTCAGGTGATCCTCCTGCTTCAGCCTCATGAGTAGCTGGGATTAAAGGCATGTGCTACCACGCTCAGCTAAGTTTTGTATTTTTGGTAGAGACAGGGTTTTGCCATGTTGGCCAGGCTGGTCTCGAACTCCAGGGCTCAAGCAATCCGCCTGCCTCAGCCTCCCAAAGTGCTGGGAACTACCAGCACCTGGTCTATTTTTGGATTATTTTAAATTTATTATTACTTTTACTTTTTAAAAATTTTTGTTTTTTATTTTTACATTTTTTAAATTTTTGTTTTATTTTCTTTAAAAAGCTTTTAAATTTTTTAATTTGTTAAAGGACTTTCCAGTAGCATCACATTGTACTCATCCTTTTCTTGTTATTTTAATCTTCTCCCTTCCTCCTTCACACACACACACACACACACACACACACACTTGCACACATGTACAGCGACACCCTAGCCCATTGCCTCACAGATTGCTATGAACCAACAGGCCTAAAATTAAAATAGTATAGCAATGCAGTCACAAATATAAAATAATATAAAATTATTCTGCCACTAAGATCATATTGTCTTGATAAAAACATAAGGTAAAATAAAAGTAAAATATAAGGCAACAACATGAAGCTGCATTTTAAGTTGTCACGCTGTATAGAGCTTCACTTTCACATGGCCTGTGAAAATGTATATTTAGATTCTAATCAATAATTGCCAGCCTAGAAGAGCTCTGAAATTTGATCATTTTCTTCCCTCTGGGCAGGCAAATCTTATCCCTGCAGAAAGAAGCTGTGAGCTGGAAGGGAGTTCTTTCTCTCGGTGCACCCTCTGTGCCTGCTTTCCCATTCGGTTTCTGAGAGTTCAGAACTTCAGGAAGGATCTTCCTACACGGGATATTTCCCCATGAATGCTCCACTGTGCACAAAGAGCAAATCAGAGAGACCTTGGCCTCTCAGTTCCATCTATGGACTCTAGAAGTTTCTCTTTTTATTCTGTTAGCCAAGACAGTTAGACATGTTGGCCTTAGTTATTTCTCAGCTTGCAGAAAAAGTAAGACTGTTACAGAACCAATAGTTACAGTGTATGGGTTAATATGGCATTGGCAAGACTGCCCATGAGGGCAGGCAAGGGATTTACCATCTGGCAAAATACAAACACCTTAGTCTTTTGGCTTTCAGTTAACAAGTAAGACATTGCATTTGGCCCTGTCACAGCTACAATTAAGTGCACATGCATTTCTTTTCTCCCATTCTTCGATTTGCACATGCTTACAAAAACAAAAGTAATGACATATTTGCATTATAATTTGATAATTTGTAATGAACAGGAAAAATTATTCTATCTACATATCTTTTCAAACTTGGGTTTTCTTTGCAAGGTCCTTAAGTTTCCCCTGATTCCAACATTTCTTATGCAGCAGAGACACAATCATTGCCAACTGATCACCATACACGGAATTTTCACCTTAAATAAACCTAAGTGTTAGATCCATGCCTCTGCTTTACACTCACCCGTCTTCAGTCAGCACTCCTCCTTAGAGGTAGTGAGCCCAAGCAGTTTATATAGAGTTCTGTCCTCTTTCTCTTTTTAAAAGTGTTGATCTCATCCTATTTTGGAGAGATTTATGACATCTCATAAATTATAATACTCATCATAATAATTATAAATCCTTTGAACTTATATAGGGCCTTTTATTCAAGAATGTCATGGCATTTTGCAAACATTAACCAATTTGTTTCTTGCCATACCTTAGAAGGCAGATCCTAGTTGTAGTTTAACTTTGCCACATTTGGGTCCATCACTTGTTTTTAGTCCCATCAGTTTCTGGAAATGTGGGTTAGGTAAGAAAGCAAGGAAGAGAGAGAGTGAGAAGGTGGGAAGGGAGTAAAGGAGGAGGGAGGGAGGGAGGGAGGGAGGGAGGGAGGGAGGGAGGGAGGGAGGGAGGGAATTGAATTTGGCATGTCAGAAACTCATTATTGGTTTGTATTTCAGGTAAGTAGAGCTCCTAGACCAGGGGTTGGCAGCTTTTACTTACGGGCCCAGATAGGCTTTTGGGCTACATGGTCTTTGTCATAATTACTGACTTCTGCCATTGTAGCACAAGAGCAGTCACAGATAATATTTAAATGAATGGCCATGACTGTGTTCAAAAAAAAACTTTCTTTACTACACAGGTGGTGGCCCTAGGACCGTAGGTTGCTGGCTCCTGTTCCAAACTACCATGAGATATTGATCCACATATCCTCAGTTCAGCAATGCGGGGAGAGATGATCGGCTGAATGATGCTATTTTATAGACACCCAGTACCTACAGTGTGTTCCAAATCTCTACATCAATAAATACTTTGAGAAGGTTCATATGAAGTTTCTGGGAAGAATTATTTCCCAAATTGTGGAAAGTGTAGGTTTCGTGACTGAAAGAGGGAGCCCTTCCCTCCCCACACCCTGTTCCCCAGCTCAACTGGACACCTTGATTTTCCCCAAACACAGCACCATCCTTTGCACAAGGCCATCCTACAGGCTCTTTCCTTTTGATCTAACCCCTTAGGGACAAGGGCTGTGTCTCATTTGTCTTTATAATATTAGCATGCAACACTCTGCCTGACACAAATTAGACACTCAATAAAACACATGGAATCAATGGCTTGCTTATTGGCTGACTGGTACATAGTCTGTCTCTTCTGCATTCCCTGCCTTAGCTCCCTCCCCACACCACACTTCAAACATAAGCTCCAGAAGAGCCGTGACTCTGGCTACTTCATTTGTAAGACTGAGTCTTCAGTGCCCAGATAACCGCCTGGTACATTTTAAGTGTTCAGTAAATCTTTGTAGAATCAGTCAATGAATGAAGAATTCCTACAGTTTCACCCAGCAAGATTTGGACTGGGTTTCCAATGCTGGGTCCCAGGTTAGACTTGTGTTCCTTGTGTTTAAAGCAACGTATGGAGATTTCTACCATAGCACCTGTAGCACTTTGGTTTGTCGTTGTCTTGAGAACAAAAACAAGGGCCTCTTTTTTTTCCCTGTATTTAAAGAATACAGGGAAAAAAACAATTGGCACATAAGAGGTATTCAGTACATGTTTACGGAATGAATAAATGAATCATGTAAAGAGCATTTATGACTTTTGGGAAGTCACTGACTCCGCATCCCCAGGGCAGACATTGAGGGTTAATATTTTGTTGTTCTTGGCCAGGCATGGTGGCTCACGTCTATAATCCCAGCACTTTGGGAGGCCAAGGCAGGTGGATTGCTTGACGTCAGGAGTTCGGACCAGCCTAGCCAACACAGCAAAAACCCATCTCTACTAAAAATACAAAACTTAGCTGAGCCTGGTGGCAGGCACCTGTAATCCCAGCTACTTGGGAGGCTGAGGCAGGAGAATCACTTGAACCAGGAAGCAGAGGTTGCAGTGAGCCAAGATCATGCCAGTGTACTCCAGCCTGGGCCACAGATCGAGACGCCATCTCAAAAAAAAAAGATTTTGTTGTTTTCTACGTGTGGCTGAGATAGTGAGACCACAGGCAGGGCACTGTTAGCAAGGATCCAGATTTGGACACCCAGGGAGTTCCTGAACTTTAACTCTGGGAGGGGAGTGTGAGAAAGCTGGGTTCCTCTCTGTTTTTGGCAGATTTGGGGTAAAAAGAGAACTAATGCACCCATTAAAAACTATATCCTGACCCCCAAAATTGAACTCTTTCATTTTATTTTTTCCACCAAGCTCTAGAACATACCAACAATTAAAATATATTACAGTATGGGGAAATTTGGGGATGCCCAGCCCCACCTACCAAAGCACCCTGTCATCAGCCCAGAGGGCCACGTTAGCGTCCTGGGAGGTTCTCCTGGGCAGCAGCCAGCATATTGTCTGGCAATGGCTCCACAGAGATGACGCCCACCCGTGTCCTCAGGCTTGTTCCAGTCCTCCCCATCCCCTTTATGGATAACCTTCCTTTCAAAGACCTGGTGTACACTCTCAAATACTCCCCTCCCAGACAGAGGGAGAATCCTAGACAGCCAGTGTGGGAATGGAGGAAGTGTTGAAAAGAAAGCCAGGTCAGGCATGGTGTTCCATATCTACAGTCTTAGCACTTTGTGAGGCTGGGGAGGGAGGATTGCTTGAGGCCAGGAGTTCAAGACCAGCCTGAGCAACATAGTGAAACCCTCCATCTCTACAAGAAATGAAAAAAAAAAAGATAGCTGGGCACTATGGCTCACACTTGTAATCCCAGCACTTTGGGAGGCTGAGGCAGGCGGAACACTTGAGGTCAGGAGTTCGAGACCAGCCTGGCCAATATGGTGAAACCCCATTGTAGAGACCTACTAAAAATACAAAAATTAGTGTGGTGTGGTGGTCATCTGTAATCCTAGCTGCTCAGGAGGCTGAGGCATGAGAATCGCTTAAACCTGGGTGACGGAGGTTTCAGTGAGCCAAGATTGAGATCTTGCCACTGTATTCCAGCCTGGTCAACAGAGCAACACTCTGTCAAAAAACGAAGGCAGGAAGGCAGGAAGGCAGGAAGGCAGGAAGGCAGGAAGGCAGGAAGGCAGGAAGGCAGGAAGGCAGGAAGGAAGGAAGGAAGGGAGGGAGCGAGGGAGGGAGGGAGGGAGGGAAGGAGGGAGGGAGGGAAGGGAAAGAAGAAGGGAGAGAGAGAGAAAGAAAGGAATAAAGAAAGAGGAAGGAAGGAAGAAAAAGAAATGAAGAAAGAAAGAAAGAAAAAGAAAGAAAGAAAGAAAGAAAGAAAGAAAGAAAGAAAGAAAGAAAGAAAGAAAGAAAGAAAGAAAGAAAGAAAGAAAATAAAGCTTACTGCACCTGGGCTTAGGTGGGACTAAACAGAAACTGCACAAGATCTTCCTGGGCACACCCTCAGGGCCAGGTAAGCTGTGACAGCCCCACCCCCATGCCTGTTTTACTTCCCAAATGCAAGATCCTCTTCTCAGTTTGAGTTTTGTCTAAATGAATTCAGTCTTCTAACTCTCACCTTTAGTCCAGGTTCTGCCTAGTACTTGTCCCACAGAGCACAAATTAGTCACCAAATGCCTGCAAAATGAATACAGAACTTTATAGAAAATTACCTTGAGGGGCACCAAAAAGAATCATTTCACACATCTCAAAACCAGACTTCCTCAAATCCTAGTTGTTCAGTGATCTCTTCCAAGTTTCAGAAAGTGTCTGCTCCCACCCATATTATTTCTTCTTTGAAATGTCTCCTAAAAATCTTCCTCCTGGCCAATGCAGTAGTTCATGCCTGTAATCCCGGCACTTTGGGAGGCCGGGGTGGGCAGATCACCTGAGGTCAGGAGTTTGAGACCCGCCTGGCCAAACTGGTGAAACCCCATCTCTATAAAAAATACAAAATATTAGCCAGGTATGGTGGTGTGCGCCTGTAATCCCAGCTACTCAGGAGGTTGAGACAGGAGAATCGCTCGAACCCAGAAGGCAGAGGTTGCAGTGAGCCCAGATTGCACCACTGCACTCCAGCCTGGGCAACAGAAGTGAAACTCTGTCTCAAACAAATAAATATAATTTTCCTCCTCATTCCCTCTGTCTGGTACCTCTCTCAACATTTCTTATTACTCCAGTATTGTAATAAATATTATAGGAAAAGACATTGTTGCATACCGGTTGAAAGTATTTATTGAAGATATCAGGATCTTTTGCGCATGTCATGTCTTTGGCTTCTCATTTAATCACCTGAGTTGATAGCTGAGGAAAGCGGCTTCCTTGGGAATGGGGGAGCTCAACTAGAAACCCAAGTCGAGGCTGGCATCAAAGCTTCTCTTCCTGTGGATGCTGCCCCCAGCTGCATTCAGCTCTTAAGTTCTAGGTAATTCCTTTCAGGCAGGTGTTTCCTGGACTCTTGCTTCTTTGGTCTCCTGTTCCACATTCCAGCCACCTTCAGTCCCCAAAGGAGCTGTTGTCTCTGGTTCCCACATATTTCTCTGAGAAATGACTTCTTATAGATGCTGCCTCTCTATGATGACTTCCAACTCCTTAGCTGCTGCAACTGGGCCCCCAACCCTAAGAATCCTAGAAGCTGAGGGCGTTTTCCATCCAGCCTCCTGGACACTCCTCAGGGACATGACAGTCACATTTATAAAATCTGACTGTTTTTGAAAGTGTTCCCTGGCTGCTGATTGCATTGGAAGTGAGCCAGAGTGGCTCAGGAGACTTCACAGAAGACCAGATGAGAGATGATGGTTGGACTAGAGTGATGGGACTATGGTTTGGCTGTGTCCCCATTGAAATTTCATCTCAAATTGTAGCTCACATAATTCCCTTGTGTTGTGGGAGGGACACAGTGGGAGATAACTGAATCATTGGGGTGGTTTCCCCCACACTGTTCTCATGGTCATGAATAAGTCTCATGGGATCTGATGGTTTTATAAGGGGAAACCCCTTTTGCTTGGCTCTCATTCTTATCTGTTGTCTCATTCTTGTCTTGTACATGTGAACTGTACCTTTCACCTGCTGCCATGATTATGAGGCTTCCCCAGCTACATGGAACTATGAGTCCATTCAACCTCTTTCTTTTATAAATTGCTAAGTCTCAAGCATGTCTTTTTTTTTTTTTTTAAGACAGAGTCTCACTCTGTCACCTAGGCTGGAGAGCAGTGGGGCGATCTTGGCTCACTGAGACCTGAGTTCAAGTGATTCTCCTGCCTCAGCCTCCCCAGTAGCTGGAATTACAGGTGCCTGCAGCTGTGCCTGGCTAATTTTTTTTTTTTTTTAAGTGGAGACAGGGTTTCATCATGTTGGCCAGACTGGTCTCAAACTCCTGACTTCAAGTGATCTGCCCACCTCAGCCTCCTAAAGGGCTGGGATTACAGGCAAGAGCCACCCCGCCTGGCCTCGGGCATTGCTTTATCAGCGGCATGAAAATGGACTAATATAGCAGTAAGTTGGTACCAAGGGTGGGGCACTGCTGAAAAGATACCCAAAAATGTGGAAGCAACTTTGGAAGTGGGTAACAGGCAGAGGCTGAATCACTTTGGAGGGCTCAGAAGACAGGAAAATGTGGGAAAGTTTGGAACCTCCTAGAGACATGTCGAATGGCTTTGACCAAAATACAGATAATGATTTGGACAATGAAATCCAGGCTGAGGTAGTCTCAGATAGAGATGAGGAACTTGGGAACTGGAGCAAAGGTGACCCTTGCTATGTTTTAGCAAAGAGGCTGGTGGCATTTTGCCTCTGCCCTAAAGATATGTGAAAATTTGAACTTCAGAGAAATGATTCAGGATATCTGTTGGAAGAAATCTGTAAGCAGCAAAGCATTCAAGAGGTGATTTGGGTTCTATTAAAGGCATTCAGTTTTTAAGAAAACCAGAGAGTAAACGTTTGGAAAATTTGCAGCCTGACAATGCCATAGAGAAGAAAATCCCATTTTCTGAGGAAAAATTCAAGCTGACTGCAGAAATTTGCATAAGTAATGAGGAGCTGAATGGTAAACACCAAGACAATGGAGAAAACATTTTCAGGGGATGTCAGAGACCTGGACGGCAGCCCCTTCCCACACAAGCCCAGAAGCCTAGAAGGAAAAATTTGTTTTGTGGGCTGGGCCCAGGGTCCCTCTGCTGTGTGCAGTCTAGGGACTTGGTGCCCTGTGTCCCAGCTATTATAGCCATGACTAAAAGGGGCCAAGGTACAGCTTGGGCCATGGCTTCAGAGGATGCAAGCCTCAAGCCTTGCCAGCTTCCACATGGCATTGAGCCTGAAGGTACACAAAAGTCAAGAAGTCAAGAATTGAGGTTTGGGAACCTCTGCTTAGATTTCAGAGGATGTATAGAAATGCCTGGATGTCTAGGCAGAAGTTTGCTGCAGGGATGGGTCCCTCATGGAGAACCTCTGCTAGGGCAGTGAGGAAAGAAATGTGGTATGGGTGCCCCCAGAGTTCCCACTGGGGTGCTGCCTAGTGGACCCATGAGAAGAGGGCCACCATCCTCCAGACCCTAAAATGTTAGATCCACTGACAGCTTGCACTGCACACCTGGCAAAGCTTCAGACAGTAAATGCCAGCCCATGAGAGCAGCCAGGAGGGAGGCTATACCCTACAAAGTCCTGCAAGACCATGGAAACCCACCTCTTGCATCAGCATGACCTGTATGTGAGATGTGGAGTCAAAGATCATTTTGGAACTTTGAGATATCAATGCCCTGCTGGATTTTGACTTGTATGGGGCCTGTAGCCCTTTTGTTTTGGCCAATTTCTTCCATTTGGAATGACCGTATTTACCCAATACCTGTATCCCCATTGTATCTAGGAAGTAACTAACTTGCTCTTAATTTTACAGGATCATAGGCAGAAGGGATTTGCCTTGTCTCAGATGAGACATTAGACTATGAACTTTTGAGTTAATGCTGAAATGAATGAAGACTTTAGGGGGCTGGGTGTGGTGGCTCACGCCTGTAATCCCAGCAGTTTGGCATGCCGAGGCGGGTGGATCACCTGAAGTCAGGAGTTTGAGACCAGCCTGATCAACAAGGTGAAACTTCATCTCTACTAAAAATACAAAAATTAAGGCCGGGAACAGTGGCTCATGCCTGTAATCCCAGCACTTTGGGAGGCCGAGGTGGGCAGATCACCTGAGAGAGTTCAAGATCAGCTTAACCAACATGGAGAAACCCTATCTCTACTAAAAAAAAAAAACAAACAAAAAAAAAAAATTAGCCCTGTGTGGTAGTGCATGCCTGTAATTCCAGCTACTTGGGAGGCTGAGGCTGGAGAATCACTTGAACCCAGGAGGCAGAGGTTAGTGAGCAGAGATCATTGTGCCATTGCATTCCAGCCTGGGCAACAAGAACAAAACTCCATCTCAAAACCACCACCACCAACAACAACAACAACGATAAATTTAGCCAAGTGTGGTGGCAGGTGCCTGTAGTCCCAGCTACTTGGCAGGCTGAGACAGGAGAATTACTTGAACCCAGGAGGCAGAGGTTGCAGTGAGCTGAGATTGAGCCACTGCACTCCAGCCTGAGTGATGGAGAGAGATTCCATCTCAAAAAAAAAAAAAAAAGACTTCAAGGGGCTGTTGGGAAGGCATGATTGGTTTTGAAATGTGAGGACATGAGATTTGGGAGGTGTCAGGACTGGAATGTTATGATTTGGCTGTGTCCCCACTGATATTTCATCTCAAATTGTAGCTTCCATAATTCCCTTGTGTTGTGGGAGGGACCCAGTGGGAGATAATTGAATTACGGGGGCAGTTTCCCCTACACTGTTCTCATTGTAGTTTATAAGTCTCATGAGATCTGATGGTTTTATTAGGGGAAACTCCTTTCACTTGGGTCTCACTCTTCTCTTGTCTGCTGCCATGTGAGATGTGCCTTGCACCTTCTGCCATGATAGTGAGGCCTTCCTAGCCACGCAGAACTGTGAATCCATTAAACCTCTTTCTTTTGTAAATTTCTCAGTCTCAGGCATGTCTTTATCAGCCACATGAATGCAGACTAATACAGATGGCTAAGAGAAAAGGAAAGATATTACAGATCTATTTTAGAGGTGGAATTGACAGGACTCGGTTTGGGACAAGATGCCAAGGATGAGAGAAAACAAGAGGATACAAGTGCCTGGGAGGATGGTACTAAGTCTGGAATGCTGAATATGAAAGCACATTTCTAAAAGAAGATTAAGTTTTAGGCTGGGTGGAGCGGCTTACGTCTGTGGTTCCAGCACTTTAGGAGGTCAAGGCAATTCAAGACCACCCTGGCAACATAGCAAGACCCTGCCTTTGTTTATGAAAAAGAAAAAGAAAGGATTAAGTTTTAACTCCCATGTAACAAACCTACACATGTACCCCCTCAATCTAAAAATGCTTTTAAAGACAAAAAATAACAAATGATGATGTAGACGTGGAGAAATGGGAGCCCTTACACACTCTTGGTGGGTATATATGCTAATCTAGCCATTATGGAAAACAGCATGGAGGCCCCTCAAAAAATTAAAAGTAGTGCCATATGAGCCAGAAATCTCACTGCTGGGTATGTATGCAAAGAAAATGAACATGTCAGGGGGAAATATGTACTCCCATGTTTACTGCATTATTTATAATAGCGAAGACGTAGAATCTTCCTAAGTGTCCATCAACGCATGAATGGAAAAAGAAAATGCAGTATATATACATAATGGAAAAATAATATACTGTCATTAAAAGCATGAAACCCTGTCATTTGCAGCAACACAGATGAACCTACAGGACATTAAGCAAAATAAGGCACAGAAGGTCAAAATCATGTGATCTCACCCATTTGTGGAATCTAAGAAAGTTGATCTCATGTAATGACTGAGTGCAGTGGCTCACGCCTGTATTCCCAGCACTTTGGGAGGCTGAGGCAGGCAGATCACCTGAGGTCGGGAGTTCAAGACCAGCCTGGCCAACATAGTGAAACCCCCCTCTCTACTAAAAATACAAAAAAAAAAAAAAAAAAGTTGACCTCATAGAAGGACGGAGTAGAATAGTGGTTACTAGAGGCTTCGGAGGAATGGGAAGAGATTGGTTAAGTAGAAAATTACAGCTAGATAGGAGGAATAAGTTTGGTGTCCCATTGCATATTGGAGTGACTATCTTTAACAATATTGCATTGTATATTTCAAAATATCTAAAAGAGAAGTTTTTTAATACTCTCATCACAAGGAAATGGTAAGTATTTGAGGTGATGGATATGCTAAATATCCATCACCTCATATACTTACCATTTAAATCCTTTAAAGATAAAGGATTGTGGAGACTAAGTTTTACTGTGCAGAGGAAGCTCTCAGACAGCAAATTTTAGAAAGAGCAAGTTGTAAAATGTTTCTTATCAAACTTAAAAGGGTGCCTGGCTCTTAGTTGGTTCTCTCCTGGATCTGGAAAGAAAGGAAGGAAAACAAAGGGATTCTCTATAAAGTGTGGATTTTTCTAACAAGAGACTTTGCAGGGCAGTTTTAAGGTATGACAGAAAAACATATTTTGGGGTTAAATATTTTTTCCTTGTCTTATAGTGCTATGCCGGAGTTAGACTGAAAAGTAAGTCACAACATACAGAGTTCAATAAAACCCATCTGATGAGAATTTAAGGTTTGTAGGGCATGACTCCCTAGACCTCTTAGGTAGGAATTTGGGTAAGAGAAAAAAAATTAGAGCTTAGTCCTCGGTGATAAAAGTATAAGGGAGAATAGGAGACTAAAGGGGCTTATGCTTTGGATGGTGATAAAGAAACCAGTAATGTTCAGCAGAGAGGATTTCCGCATCAGACTAAAGTGCAGCCTCCTTAATCATCTGGCAGGGAGTGAGGCATCTCAGGTAGGGAGCAAGGAAGTCCAAATCTAGTTATTAGGCGCACCCACCCACTGTGACTGTTTCTGGCTCCAGTTAAAAATGAAACATCAAACGAAGGAAGACGGAGGCCAAGGCTAAGCTAGCAAACGCCCAGGTCTGCTCTGACGCGCCCCCTGCAGGATCCCGTTCAGACACGCAGGAGAGACAAGGCCGCTGGTGCGCGCTTGGGACGGTTTTGCGCTCCCTTCTACCTGCCCCCTCCTGCCGCAAGTTCTAGTCCCACCTTCTTCGTCACCCACCGCCAGCCTATGGAGGTTCCCTCTCTGGTCCTCCGTATCCCATGGGTAAAATGGACGTAGCATGTCTAATCGCGCGTGTTCCCGCAGTGATGTGGACTGAAGGGCTTTGAACGCTGTCGTAAGGGAAGGGGCCTGGGACACTGACTTCGTCCCCTTTTCCCAGTTCCTGCTCAGAGCCGCTCTCCCAGGCCGCCGGCCCCTAACTCTATCCCAGCCCTCTGATCCGTCTGCCTCCTGAGGGCAAAACTACAGGGTGCCCAGGAACAGGGGCTGCTCTGTCGCCCTATTTCCTCTGTCTTCCATTTCCCCTGTGCGTTCCTAAATCCGGAGACGCGGCCCTGTGCTGACTGGCGGGAAGCTCCGGCTTCAGGGGTGTCTCATCACAAAGGGCGTTCTGCCCTGGAACCTTCGGAGGAGATAAAAGCCGCGCAGGCCCCGCGCCCGCCGCGCACTCCGACCGTTCCGACGGGATAGCGCTGCTCTGGCTGTAAATGACCCGAAGGCTGCCCCGCATCTTAGGCTTCCAGCCCCTGCTCCCTTCCGGCCCCGCGCCGAGCCTTCGCCAGCAGCTCCTCTTCCCTCCCATCCGCCATCCGCTTCTAGACCCAAAGACTCCGCTCCAGTTCAATCCCACCTACTCGGCCTTTTGCCGCATCTGCTTCCCGCTTCTCAGCCACTTCGTCCCTGTCCACTACCCCGTAGTGGGCGTCGCCCTGCCCAGCTCCTCCTGCGTGAGTCTTCAGAAGGCCTGTATCTGCCGCCGGCACGTCCGCCGGGGCCCCAACTTCCACTACATGCCTCCCTATCCCCCCACGCCCCCGCCCAGCCCCTGCTACTAGAGCCGGCCTGCAGCCCGCTGCCACCCGCCACCCTGCGGTCCTGACCGTCCACGGACCCAACGGAGAGGGCCCCCTGCAGGGACCGAGCCCGGGCGGCGCAGAAGCGAGCCCTGGGGTCCCTGCGGCCTGGCTGTGGACACCGGGACCCAGGACCACGGGCACCCACCCTCGGCCTCCGCAGCCTGCGCTGCCAGCCGCGCCAGCCTCTGCGTTTAGAACCGGCTTTCCCGCGGGCCTTGGTCTGTAACCACCCAGCAAACTGCAGGCCCGAGAAGGGAGAGCAGGAGGAAGCAGCGCCTCTGCTCGCGGGGAGGGAAACGACTGGCCAAGGTGAGGCCTACTACGTGCCGATGACCTCCGGGTCTGTCCCTTGACGGGAAGCCCTTTCTTGGAGGTGTCCACGGGAGGTTAGGGTAAGGGCTGGGGCGCGAGAGGCTGAGGCTGCGGGAGCGCTGTTGCCTGGAGACCGCGTGGGACGCTGTTGCCTGGAGACCGCGTGGGACGCTGTTGCCTGGAGACCGCGTGGGATGCCATTGTTTGGAGACAGGAGAAGTCCCGGCCTGGGAAGAGGTAGGAGGGAGGCATTGGGAGCACGAGGGATCACCCCAGGGAAAAGGTGATCCAGGATGAGGTCCGTCAGAACCGTCAGATATTGCGGGAGCTGTACCTCAAAGAGCTACCAGCCCAGCACGTCTATGTGCTGCACCACGTGAAACGCCCCACGAGGTCCACAGATCACCAGGAAGCCCATGTCTTGGCATGGTAACCTGGAGGAGCCTGCAGGCGCCAGCTGTGTGAATCTCATTCGCCACGCTCCCCAAGGACCAAGGGAGAAGGACCCAGACACAGACTAAAAACCAAGAAACTGCATGGGACTCAGAGCCCTGGGTCAACCCAGAATGCCTGGATGGCAGGCTGAACCACTGCCGGGTCTGCAATGACATGGATCCGTACAAGACTCAGATGTGGAGCATGGGAGATGATAGCCACCAGTGGCACCCCAGCGGTGGAGTGAAGCCTGGATTTAATGCCCAAAGTCTCACTGCCCCGAGAAATAAATGTTATTTTAAAGCCAAATAAATACAAGTAAACTAAGTTTTAGACATTGGAATTTTGCAACGTGATTTTTCCCAGGAATTGTTCCCAATCTTCAGTCCTCTTATAGTACAGGTGAGTGCCATGAAAGTAGCCATGTTGAATTGCAGAGCAATATGTTGACCCTGCTTCTTCCACCAGTCCCTTGGATCAGGGATGGGAAAGTGACCCAAGCTAGGCAAAAACACAGCACAGAACCAAGAGAGAGCTGTGACTGTCTCTCTCCAAATTGCTGAACTGATGACATGTGGACTAAGTATCTGTATTAGTCTGTTCTCATGATGCTAAGAAAGACATACCAGAGACTGGATAATTTATAAAGGAAAGAGGTTTAATGGACTCACAGTTCAGCATAGCTGGGGAGGCCTCACAATTATGGTGGAAGGCAAAGGAGAAGCAAAGTCACGCCTTATATGGCGGCAGGCAAGAGAGCTTGTGCCAGAAAACTCCCATTCATAAAACCATCAGATCTTGTGAGACTTATTTACTACCATGAGAACAGTATGAGGGAAACTGTCCCCACAATTTAATTATCTCCACCGGGCCCTGCCTTTGACATGTGGGGATTATTAGAATTCAAGGTGAGATTTGGGGGAGGGGTGGGGGGCAGTGGTGACACAGCCAAACCATATCAGTATCTGTTGGTATTCTAGACCAGGGCCAGCAACCTACAACCTACAAAGCGCCATCATCTCTTTGTAAATAATGTTTTGTTTTGTTTTTTTTCTTTTACTCTAGTTCGTGAGTAAACAATGTTTTCTATGAACACAGCAGTGGCCATTTATTTACCTACTGTCTATGACTTCTTTTGTGCTCTAATGGCCAAGGTAAGTAGTTATGAGAAAGACCTCATGACCCTCAAGCCTATGTGAACAGTTCCTGAGGAACTCCAAAACTTGGGGCTGGGTAGAGGACAAAGCTGATAAACAACACCAGCTAAGAGAGGCTGTAGAGGAGTGAAAACCAGAAAAGTGTGATATCATCAAGGTCTGGGCCTTTTAAAAAACCTGCCAATCCCAGTGGAGGTCTAGAATCTCCATTTGGTCTGAGGAACTAAAAAGGCAGCAAGAGAGAAAAATGAAGCAACTGCACACGAAGAAGGGGTGAGAGTTGAAGAAAGTCCTGACAGTGTCCCAAGCCAACGTTCTAAATGGTCTTGAGGTTCAACCACACTCCCCAAGTTCAGTTGAGACAGCCCCAGTTGTCTATACTAACTTCCTCTTTTTATTTAAACTACTTTAAGTTGGGATATCATGTTATTTGCAACCAGAGGGCACCATTACTTAATTTATTCACTCATTTGTCTCTCATTCATTCATTCAAAAGTTTTATGGAATCTTACTTACTATGTGAGGCAGAATGCTGAGGATGGGTGATACAGTGGCAAAAAGGACAGCCATGGGCCCTGACCTTGTGAAGTTTATATTCTAGAATTTTTTTTTTTAAAAGGAGTTTCACTCTTTTTGCCCAGGCTGGAGTGCAATGGTACCATCTCAGCTCACCACAACCTCTGCCTCAGCCTCCCAAGTAGCTGGGATTACAGGCATGTGCCACCATGCCCAGCTAATTTTTTGTATTTTCAGTAGAAACAGGGTTTCTCCATGTTGGCCAGGCTGGTCTCCAACCCCCAACCTCAGGTGATCCACCCACTTCAGCCTCTTAAAGTGCTGAGATTACAGGTGTGAGCCACCATACCTAGCCATGAAGTTTATTCTTTAATATAACAAGTTGGGTTTCAGGTCCTGTGAGACTGCCAAGATGTCACAATAGGCCAGGTTCAGTGGTTCATGCCTGTAATCCCAACACTTTGAAAGGCAAAGGTGGGTAAATCACTTGAGCCCAGGAGTTGTAGACCAGTCTGGACAACATGGCAAAACACTGTCTCTACTAAAAATATAAAAATTAGCTGGGCATGGTGACATGCACCTGTAGGCCCAACTACTCGAGTGGCTGAGTTGGGAGGATCAGTTGAGCCTGGGAGGTTGAGGCTGCAGTGAGCCATAATTGAGCCACTGCACTCCAGTCTGGATGACAAAGGCCATTGCCTAGGGAGAAGGTATCAAGTGACTATTGAAGTGTGCATGTGACCAGTCCCTGAAGACCTCGAATATTCAGGAGTTAGGTAGAGAAAAAAAAGTGGATTAATGAGATCAGAG